TGGCGGTGGCGGTGGCGGTGGCGGTGGCGGTGGCGGTGGCGGTGGCGTTTGAGGCGTGAAACCAATACCCTTGAAACCTCAAGCTACATTATTTATGCACATCTATGTATGTATGTATCTATGTCTGTAACTAAATTTACATATTTATGTAGGTACACAAATATACACACATTCTCACATACATATGTACATATGGGAGAATATGGGAGTACATGCGCAAGTGTGCCCTTAATGGCTCCATACTAAGCACCTCGCTTTCCACCATTTGAATACTTAACCAACCAGCCAGCCAACCGACCAAACGACCAACCAACCACGCCTCTGCTTGCCTTGTCACGCTCGCAAATGCAAATTAGACAGTGCTGCCAATTAAGTAAATCTGTTTCGACATTAAAAGAGTAGCAGCGTCGTCGTTGATAGCGTTTCCCATCTCCCTGTTATTTAGAAGTTCTTGTTTTACGTTTTGCGTTTTGCGTTTTGTTTTTGTTTTTGGACACAGTTGGCCATACTCTTTTGGGCGAAAACGTATTTTTATTACTAGTACGTTGCGTATTAATAGCGCAAAAACGTTTGTTGCACGTATGCCACATTTTTGTTTTCGTCGTTCGTTAGCATTTCTCCGAATCCCCCTACTCAATCCAAATGCTTGGTTTTGGTTTTTTCATTTCTATTATTTTTTTTTGTGAAATTTTAAAGCAACCACATTTTGCCAGTGCTACAAATATACTTTATGACCGAGCTAACTGCCAGTTGTATGCGTTTGCGTATGGGATAGCCACCGAATATTCTCGCTGCGTTGGCGGGGGAGGGGTAAGTGTGGGACAGTTTTTGTGAGCGTGCTTGCGCCCGGCAAAGCACACATAGCGAATATGTATGTGTGTTTGTATGCAAGCGCTAGTAGATGCTAATAACAATTATGGCTAATGATGATTTAGAATTAGTAGTTCCAGTCACACACACACACACACCCACACACACACACACACACACACACACACATTCATATTCATCTACCCAGCTAGTGTTTGAAAGTTAATTCGGGGCTAGTAATACTCTCGAGGTTTTTGGGGCTCACATATGTATGTAGAAGAGCTTTTTTTTAAATTGTATCGATTGGGCATCACTATAAGAAATATCCGGTCTCTCAAAAGCTCACTTCTATTTATAGCTCCTTATATTATGAAAATATAAAATCGGGGCTAATCGAATAGCTACAAATATAGCATCCTAATAAACATTGTGCTTGGTTAACAATTCCAAAGTGATTTTAAAACAAATCTTTTTTCAAGTCTCACCTCCGAAAATGAATGTGGAATATCAATCAATTATCAAATGTACATATTTTCCCTTCGTTATGAATTCGAAATTTCCATTCGAGAATGAGCTGGATTTAAGTTTCTCTCTTGTTATTTACTGTGGTTAAATCTCTTTTTCGAACCGATTTCGAGTGTATTTCCAGCGTACTATGAAGGTTGGGAAACTAAGGTTAGTTATGATTTCGTTCTCAGTTTGATATGCATACTGGATATCGAAGGTCATTTCCGAGCGTTGCCACGATGTTTATTGGGATATAATCAATTTCAATGGAATGCCTGCACTTTCTTACCCGTCCATAACACGATAACTCGTCAAAGGACGCTATTTTCCATGACCACTGGCCGTACAGTTCCTGCAATATCGCTATAGCCTCGAAGCCGTATGAACTTGATAGCGAAGTGTTCTGATGCGGTTGAAAGGGATGTAGGACACTCCCCGAAGCGTACCACCAAAAGCCCGAGGGCCTTAGTTACCGGATAGCTATCACTTAGAAAGACTAAGACTAAAGTCCGTTTAATTTTCCCGTAAACGAATACGAGTGTTCAAAGATGCAGTCGGAGCGAGCCAAAGTATGAAAAGTGCAGATATAGCAAAGATGAATTTAGAGCTCTGTGTTACAGAATAAAAACAGGAACAAAACCTATGTACATTAAGGCGGGTGGATTTTTTTCGTCTATGCGCATATATCATACGAGGACTCTATGTGCAATTCCCAGCAAATTAACCGAATAAACAATGGGTCTAAAATCAATTTGGAGTTTGCCAAATTGCGAAAAAACGTTTCGAAGAAAATGTGAAATTTTCCACTGTTGCGACCTCTGGTGGAAATTTTAAGAAAAATATAAGTGCAAAAACGGATTCAATGACCAGAAAACCGCTTATAGAAAGTTTTTTTTTTTTTTTAATTTAGCACTTCCTAATGACACAACAGAAAAATGCTAAGAAACCTATTTTCGCAATTTGACAAACTCCAAATTGATTTTAAACCCGTGGTTTCTTCGGAAAATTTGCTTATATTTACGTTTAAAATCCTTCTGTGCTATACGCGCATAGTAGAAAAAAATCCCATACAAATTGACCCGCCCTAATGTACATATGTATCTGAAAAATTACCTTTTTAAAAAAAATGCTACCTAAATCTGTTGCAAAAATTAACTTATAAAGAAAATATTATTTCCAAAATTAAGATTTTTCGCATTGATTCAATGAATCGTGTTTTACAACTCTATATACGCACATCCCTAATTTGAAGATCATGTTGGTTTGCGATGAAATGGAAGAGCGCTGTATTTTTCAATCTCCTATGTGAAGTGAAATGAGAAAACACAGATTTTCTCTTTGGCGTACTGTAACTACCTTTATTGTACACAAAAAAAAAAAAATCACCACTCGATACGAGTCGTTTTTTGAACATTGCTGCGACTCGATTTTTATATTGTACAGCAGAATTCTTAGTGGCAGATTTTTTTCTTTCCCATATGAAACGCATACGACTCGCAAGTAATTCGTGTAGTTTCGCACCAAAAAGAGTTAACTTCGAATCGCTTCTTATTGAAAATGCTTGCTGGGTATTCCCAAATCTTCAGCTGGCGTAATGAGAATCATTGCTTGCATTTTTCGTAAACTTTTATAACTTTTCCAATTTTTTCATAATTGCTTTGAATTTGTTGTTATTAGCATTTTCTCTCTTAACTACATACATAGCTGCTGAACGAAACTTTATAACAGTTTTATTGCTTTTTGTGGTTATTTTTCGTTGCTTAATATTGCTTACTGTTTCTACGATGTGATTATTGCATGTGGTTCTGCATTCTTTCTACTTAATAAGCGAAATATGTATATATTTTTTTTATTGGTGTGTCTATAAATATTCAGTATATATGTGTGTATGTATGTGTGTTATTAAAGTTTAAAATTGCATTAGTCATTTAAAATTGTAAAAATCTGTCTCTAATCCTTATAGCCTAATTCGTTGTATGCGAAACGTTGCTCTTTGTTTTCATCAAAATGTTATTTATTCGTTGCCTTGTAAATCACGTTTGCGTTTACTTATTTTATAAGCTTTTAATCAAATTGAATGTGCATGCTGAGTATGAGGGTGCTTTGTGAATGGAGTTGTATGAATGTGTTTTCGATGGAAAAATGCTATGAAACGCTTCTGAGATTGCCCGCAGCTCGAGATGACGCGTTGTTGCTACTTTCTAGTGAATGAAATGTGGGAAAGCGCTAATCGTAACTACTAGTTGAATATTTTGAGCAAAGTTTTATTTACAAATGAAATGAGTACGGAAAAATTCAATAAAAAATCCATTTAAAAAAGCTCTTGCGGCTCTTTGAAACTGGTATGAGTATGAGTATGCGATGAATATGAGTATCAGTATGCGTATGAGTATTCACGGTCGAGTGTTGCTCGAATGCTGGTGTATTTTTAATTGTTTTTTTTTTTTTTGTTACTCATATCTGAAGTTGTTGTTGCTTTGTGAATCTCCCAACTCTTAAATACTACGAGTTTGCTTTTCTAGAACTACTTAACTTACTACTGCCTTAAATCTGCATATTATTTCTAATTTTCATTTTGTATATGCATTTATCGAGTATTCTTAATGTTTTGTGGACGTTTTGTGATGTCTCGTGTGTTCAGCGTGTGTTCAATTGTACAAATATTTAGTAAAACATAAGAACGAAAAACATAAAATATCTATGTAGTAAATATGTAAGATTTAAACAATTAAATTAAATTATTATAATATTAAGTAGTTTTAATTCTATTCATACTGTCACTGGTAATTTTGCCAACCCCGTAAGGGTTAATTTGCACTGGTTTTAACTATGCACATAAACGAGTCGACATGCCACACATTCGCTTGCAACAAAACCGTAACTTTTGCACTTCAACTTTCCGAACTTTTCCACTCTTAACTACCTGCTTGCTCTTAACTATTACTTACAATTGCACCAAAGGGCCACTTAACTGCTGCTGTGTGTTCTGGTGTTCTGTTTTCCTGCTGTTCATCTCAATGTTGATTTTAGCCGACGAAGGTCGCTTCCACCTTCACCATTGTGGCTGCCGCAGCTGCTGCCGCCGCGACTGCTGCTGCTGGTGTTGGTATCGTAAGCGCACTTATACTGCCAATATTTACCGCCGACGGTGTTGGCGAATTGCTGATGTAACGCCGCTGCTGCTGTGCCGTCGGCGCCAAAGGATAATCTTCCATGGAGGGTGGTGGCGACACCATACCGCTGCTGGCATCGCTGGCGCTGTCGAACTGCATGTCCGCCTCGTCCTTGAGGCACGCCGATTCTAGATGCTTGTTGAGGTACGACTTGAGCGCGAATGTTTTATTGCAGCGTTTACATTCGAAATTTTTATCGATCGAGTGCGTCTGCATGTGCGCTCTTAGATTGGAGCGGTCTGCGAATGCTTTGCCGCAATGTGCGCAGCCATATGGCTTTTCGCCAGTGTGCGAACGCAAATGGCCCTGCAGGAGCCAAGGACGTGAGAAGAGTTTGCCACAAACGTCACAGCTGTGCGAGAGTTTGTGCGTGAGCAAGTGCATTGCCAGAGCCGGCATTGACACGTACGCTTTGCCGCAGGTGTGACACTTCTTCGCTGATTGCGAATCGAGCGAGCGATGCGTTTGTTTGTGGCGCGAGAGATTACTCGATGTGGCGTACTGTTTGCCACATTCGGTGCAAGTGTACTTGGCCTTCTGTTGATCTTGTTGTACTATGGTCGTGGGATCGGTGACATGTTTGCGCTTCGAGCGGCCGTCGCTAACGAAGAACGCCTCATAGGTATAGGCCACGGTCTTGTTTGACTGGGTAGTCGTCAGCTGGTTGGTTGTGTTGCTGTTCTCATTTTGCACGCTGCTTGCCGGCGAACTCGGCTGCCGATCGCTATCAGATGCGCTCATAACGCTGTGCAGGGAAGCGGTACTTCTGGGTCGCTGTTCGTTTGCGACAATAGCGGCCGCTGCCAAATCTGCGATGGATGGACCACTATGGTGTATGATGGTCTCCTGTTGTTGTTGCAATTGAATAGCATGAGTTATTTGGTGCAGCGGATGTTGATGATGATGTAACGGGTGCAGTTGTGACGGCGGCGTGGGATTGTGCTGTACTTGCTGCACCTGCTGGAGCTGATGTGGCTGTGTTGGCGGGTGGAAGGCTGTGGAAGCACTCAGATCGAGTATGGCGTGAGCGGCGTGCAAATCCTCCTCAGCTGGTATACGCAAACTCTCATATGGAGAACGCAAACGCTCCACACTTGGCCTATCATCGAGTGAATATGGCCGGTAAATGTCTTTCTTTTTTGGAGGGAGCGATAGTGCAGCGCCAGTGCTGGTGAAGCACATAGCCAGTGATTTATTTCGTAGTGCGCTTGACTCAGAGCTCATCTGGATGTTGTGCTGTATGTTGTCATCGCTATGTGACTCTGTCTTAATGCGTACGATGGGCGGACTGAGGCGGTCGCTACTGCTACTATTGGACGCTGTTACCACACTGGAATAACTCGACGGAGACGCTGAAGGCGAAGAGGCGGTCGAGGGCGGCGGCGTGTGCACGAACGAGGAATAATGATGGGCCGTATGCGGTAACGGTAGGTTGTGATGGCCAGTGGCGACAGCAGCAGCAGCAGCAGCCGTCGCAACGGCGTTAGCCGCATTCGTAATTACAGTAACTTCGCCGTTTTCCATTCTGGGCAGGTACGCTGTGTAGTGCATGGGTGAAGCGTCATGTCCAAAACCTGCAAATGTCAAGAAGAGAGTAGCGATGAGCAAAGGGAATTTTTAATTTTACTCTTGCAGCCATAAAATCAATAAACCCAGAGGCGAGTACTGCAAGTTCGGAAAATCAGCACGCCAAATATATGTATGTATATAAGTAGAGATGGACTGGGAACGAGCCTACACACATGAAAGACTAGTACAAAAAATCTCTCGAAATTGGCAAAGGGCCAAGTAAATTTCAGCAGCAATACGAGTGGCACATCCTTGCTATACAAAGTTGTTTGGGAAAGGAGAAATACGGGCAAATTTTGTTTATTTTTTAAATAGCAAGGCGAAAAAAGCAACGAAATGCATGAACTGCGTAATTTTTGTGATATAGCACCTATATATATATGTATGTACATATGTACAAGTACATACATGCTTAGTAACTCAAAATTTCTCCTTTGGCAGAAAAAGCAAACAAATATTTATGTTCTCCTGTTAATCACATGGAAAAGAGAGCCTTCACTAAGACTTTTTCAACAAATTGCAACAGAAAATTTGCTTCAGCTTTTTTCGGGGAAGTTTGTGTAAGGACTGAGGACATTTTTTGCGTATAATGTAAAAATTTACAAATTTTGAATTAAAACACTTTTGAAGAATATGTGTGCATATCGGAAAGGAATAGAAAAATTAAACATAACTTTAAATTAAAAAATATATATTCAGCGCTTTTAAATGAAGGAACCTACAACCTTAATTCCAACGGAGATTGAAATGATTGGATGGAAAAACAATTTTTTTTTTTAATTTGAGTGTTGTGCTGACCGGCGATCCAGCTTAAGTCCTATCGAGTGATAATTTGCAACCTTTAACATTCGACTACGGTGGTCGTCAACTTTAAACTATTTATGTAGATTTATTAACAGGGAACGGATTTGTAGGACCTAAAAACCAATAAAAAGGCAAAATAACGAAATAGTCTAGAAATGGCTAAATAAAATAGCAAAATAGGAAGGAAAAGGCACTAGAATACGCAAAAAAGACAAAATCCGAAAAATAATCAAAAAGTACATTGAATTTCGAAATATTTATTTTACAATTAAAAAGAGAAAAACTATGAACTAGTTTCATTATATGAAAAATTTCTACTTTGAATCTTTAACTATTTTCTCCTTTCGAGTTCTTAACTCACAAAACTTTAATCTCTATAGTTGTGGTAAGATTGAACCACAAGATGCATTTTGAAGTTTTCTGGCAGCATTTTCAATCCATTTTCGCGAATATTTAAACCCATTGAATGTACTAAACGTGCGCTCAACGTGATTTGACACAAGTGGCGCCCAACTGAAATAAGGAACGTTTAAAACTTTCATATTATCAGGAAAAAGGGCTTTTTCCTTGCTCTTTACAACTAAAGGCCAGTATGCAGCTCTCAAAAAAAAGCATCACTGGTTTATATGTTGGATATATTCACTGAAGTAATGACCAAAAAATAAATCACGTCAGAAGCTTGATAAACCTTTCCTTAGTTTTTATAGCGGTTATGAGCATAAGGAGCTTATACCCCGTGAACGTCCATTATTTAATGCTGTCATAAAATTCTTGATTTTTTTGCTAAACTCGCTGGTTTTCAAATTACACTTCAGAAGCATCGTTGATGAATTAACTTTTGAAGGAAGCACAAAATCAGATCAACTGCTCTTCGGTTGTATTCTGCCGTGACTCGGACATAACTTTTGCTACATACATATATCCAGCCTTGATAAAAAAATCTCTGCCTGTCTTCAGAATATCGAAAGCTTTTTACAGTCACAGAAATTAGTCATTTGGTAAGGGATCAAAAGACGGAATTCCACTTTAAATCTAAGAGCTGCTCAAAGAATCTAAACCGCTTACCCACCAAATTGGTTTTGTACTCTACGAAATTAAGTCATTAGGTAGGTAAGAATATCACTTAAATCTCTTTTAATCGATCAAAGTTATTTATTTTGGAAAAAATATTTCTTAATTCCAGCTATTTTGTAATTTTTGAAATTCTACGAATTTTTTTAATTTTTTTAATTTAAGATACTTCAAAATGTTAAAATTAAATGATGGAAATATTCCTCTTGCCAAATCGAACGAATCTAGTGCAACAAAAATTGTCTGCTTGATGTTTTTATATAACAAAACTTGCCCTTCATATTGACTTTACTCCATATGGTACTACGGTTTCAATCGAAAGAACTTTCAGAGAAATCAAAATTATACTGAAGATGGCAGAGCGCCAAAATCGGACAATTTAATGAGCAGTGCTGACGATTCTAAGCAAAAGCTTATTTTGCATTTACATATCTGGCAGTTCTGTTCGTTTTTGCATATATTTGACATAAGAGTTTTTTTCATACAACAATATCGTACTTTTTCGACGAAAAGGAAGTGAGTAGCAACGAGATGTCAAGCATTTGATAGAAAACAGCAGCTGGACGATGAAACCGTAGAAACTATATGACAAATTAAAAACACGACATGAATTTGATTAAATCCGAACAGACTTGGCGATACATTAAGGCAAATTTTACCAATAAACCAAATGTTGAACACAGACATGTTAAAAAGAAAAATGAAAAGCCAAATGTCTAGAAACCCTGGCTATACCACAAGTGTTAATATAAGATGTATGTATTAATTACTGGATCCACAATATCTATGGAAGCGATAGTTTTTGGTTGATAATTTAAAAATGCATGGAATTTTATACACAATTTTGATATTATTGAATAAAAATATTGAAAGATTGAAATAAAACTCATTGATTTAGCAGATTTAAGAGCGTAGTAACAGGTTGACCAAGATTTGCTCGTAGTGCATACACGTTTTAAAGTTTAAAAGTTTTAAAGTTTTGGGTATCAAATACGGGTCATTTGGATGGCTTTTATTGTGCAAAGTAAAATAAAAAAATGGCTTTTGATATCTTGTGAAATGAGTAAATTTCTTACTTTAAAAACTAGGTGGCAACCCTATTGGAAATTCGTGCATATCTTTAGCGTGTATGTGCTGTGTAAACATACAAAAAGCGCTTACTGAGATTAAAAAAATAAATACATATTTGTGTAAAAAAACGTGGCAACCCACATCGAAAATCTTTTCGGCCCAAACTTCTCAAAATACCTTTCATATGATATCCACATTCTGTTGTTTTAGTTAAATTTTCTAAAATCGAAAATAAGTGGCAACCTTACTCTAATATCTTAAGGTATAACAATTAGTACATAGGCAAAACATTTTTTAAGTGTCTTTTTTTATTATCCATAAATAATAACATTGCACCTTTATTTTCTAAACTAAAAATAAAATAAATATGCGATTCAAAGTAGGTGGCAACCCTATTCTTTAATATTTACAAATTGGGAATGTTTTAAATACCTTCCACTTGATGTCCATATTATTATGTTTTATTTAATTTATAACAAATTTCGTATAGGTGGCAACCTTATACGAGTATTCCCGGCGATAATACCTATAGTTAACATTCAGTTCAGGACATTATCTATACTACATACAAAGGCATATGCAACAGGTAGTAGCTTTAGAGCAAAAACAAATTTTACGTGTATTTTATTGTTGCTTCTGGGAAGCTTTGACACTGACTAGCAGTCAAGATTTCGAAAAAAAAGAGTTATCAGTGTCAAAATAGTAGTTTGGTATCCTTCTCTATTTTGAAAAGAAAAATTTAATTACAAACCGTTACAGCCGAGGGCCTTAAAATCAATGCTTTAACTCCTTGAAAACATTATTATATAGTGCCTGGTATAGGGCCAACCCGCAAGGTTTTGACTCAGTTGGCCTAAAGTGATGCGGCACTAAGAGAGCTCCTGGAATTCAATAACCTCAATATGGTTTTCATATATGAGCAAATCTCACGAGTTGTGACATTTTTCCACAAAAACGTGCTTTTGGTCGAAAATGGTGGCGCACCTGTCATAGAAAATGCATTATCCTCAGATTTGTACAAAGAAAAAGATTCCATCGCGAAATTTTATTGAAATAAAAACTTAAAACAGATAAACTAAAAGTATTAAAAAATAACCACTCATGCTCATATACCTGTAGTTGCGTATGTTACGTATACGACCCGTAGTACCCAACGCAGTCATCTAAGACGTTTACATGCAATTAAATATTGGCGTGGAAGATTTTTACACAGTATTCTCTAGGCAAATATATATTACTTTTCTCATGTAGTATATGTATAACAATTTTCGAAATTGAATTCGAGTGTACCAATAAAAATTTAAGAAATTGAATCTTTTACTCAATGTAATTTTTTTTTTACTTTTGGTTACACACTAGTTTTATTACACTAGCTTCGTTCGCTTTGACAAGAAGCACATTTTAAAAATCGTGAAGTTTCAAAAATTACAAAACAGCTGCGACAGATATTTTGCATACTACCATTTATTTTTAATTTAGTGGCACACTCTTGAAACTTCGCGGATATGTTGTACTTGATGCCAACGTTCATTGCTTATAATATGAACACTCTAGTTGGAAACTTCCTAGTTATAAAAAAAAACAATTATGAGGTTTTCGAATGGCAATGAAAAAACTGGTAATTTCGGTTGTTTTTCGTGTTAATAAATATTTTAAGGCTAAAATTTCTCAAACACTTGATTTTATTGTACTTGTTTCTGGAACTCCATTGATTTAAATAAATGCGAGAGAAGGGAGTGACACTAAAAAAAAACAACTCGTTAGATTTTCTCGCATGTACGAGTACATAAGGGAGCTACTGTGGATGTGAAAACTGAACAGCGCCTATTTAAAATCCAATTTCCAATCCAATTTGCCACAATTCTTAGGGTGGAGACATAATTTAAGATTACAAAGTTTCTTAATAATATTTTAAGAGCATGCTTAAATTTTCTTCGCTGTTGTTAAACTCTGAACTCGAATTCGATAACGGAAAGTAAATTTATCGCATAGATATTTTTAAAAACTTTTCACCAAAGGCCAGATATTAAGCTGCCCAGTAGCCGGAAATAAGTCGTGTGCCATTAGAGAGACGGCAAGCGTGGCAAAGTGCTGACGAATATATGTACAAACACCACGCACTATGCGTATTTGCAAACATACACACATTCACATGTATGTATGCGCATGCATGCGTATTGAATAAGTTTGTGCCTAAAACATAAAACAAAAGCTACAACTCTAAACAGGACACAGATATGTACATTGTACATCTACTCCGAGCATTGTGAGCAAGAAAGCCACTGATAGCCTCACTGAAACGGGATTAACGGCGTGCAAAGCCGAATAATATATATACATACATACATACAACGTACAATGCAATATTGTACATATATGTGCGGCGATTATGCCTAGCTATATATATAAATGTTGAAGGAAAAATATTTCATCGTTGTTACTAAAGTGTGGAATGCGATTTGCCACGCCGCGGCAAACTTAATGCGCCGTAACACCATAAAGTACATCCTGATTTTCATTTGTAAAAAATGGCTTTGGGAATACAAATTCACTTGCACATTAAAGCGTCGGAAGGCAAATATACGATGGCCAGACATCAGCCGCGTCTGCTGTCAGTTTACAGTTTTGTTGCTGATTGCAAGGAATGGCAATGCACAGGTCTAACAGATTCGTCCTGGACGTACATATATATGAACATAGATACTTACATATATGTATGCACTAGTCTAACTAACATTTACAAATGAATGTAGGTATGCACACAGTGTTTGTGTAGACAAGTTTTTATTTTGTTTTTATT